AATGATATTTATATTATTAGCATTATTATTTCTTTTTTTTTTTTTATTATTTATTTTTTTTTTTTTTTTTTTTTTTTTTATATTTTTTTTTATTTTTTTTTATTTTTATTTTTTTTTTTTTTTCTATTGCTTTTTTTTTAGCATCCCCCTCCCCCAGAAAAATCCGGGGGGGGGGGGGGGAAGAGTAATTGTTAAATTATAAATTTAGTCAATACATATACACTGGTTATTCTTAAAATAAATTTAAGAATTTAATAAATAAAATTTAATGAATAAATAAAGATTAAAATATAAATGGCCAGGCGTAGCTAGAGGACCTCCAGCGCGACTGCGTTGGGCATTTATATAAATAAATAAAGTAAATTTATAATTAATAAAATAGGCATATAATTTAAAGCTCTACTAATACCGGTACTACCTAATACTTTTAATAAACCATTATCTGTATAAGTGTTAAGATAACCACCTAATTTTAATGTAGGTCTAATAATTAAATTATTAAGTAATTGATCAAAATAGATACGTTGGTTAAAGAATTTATAAACATAAGATGAAGTTATTTTATATGAGAATTCATACATTATAACTAAAGATAATGATAAACCTAAACCTAATATTAAAGGTAATAATTTAAATATTGCAGGTAATGTATACTCAGTTTCTATAAAATTATTAGTATGTGGTAATCCCATAACTAAATGGAATGTAACATTATCTCTACCATAACCTAAGAATATACTATAAATAGTTAATATAGTCATAGGTATTGCCATTTGTATACTTTCATGTATATTAGCATATGTATATTTATTACCATTAGGATTATTATAGAATGTTAAATATAATACTCTTAATGAATATACAGCTGTTAAAGTAGCAGATGCTGTTGCTACATAATACATAATATAACCACTTAATGTATAAGTACCATATAATGATTCAATAATTATATCTTTAGAATAATAACCAGTTAAACCAGGTATAGCCATTAAAGATAATGAAGCTATAACCATAGTAGTATAACTAAATGGTAAATATTGTATTAAACCTCCATATTTACGCATATCTTGTGTTTCAGACATAATACTATGTATAATAGATCCAGCAGACATAAATAATAAAGCTTTAAAGAAAGCATGACAATATAAATGATATATAGCTAAATCATATGATGATGAACCTATAGCTAACATCATCATACTTAATTGACTCATAGTAGATAAAGCTATAACTCTTTTTATATCATTAGTAACTACAGCTATTAAACCACTAACTAAAGTAGTAATACCACCTAATCATAAGATAACTATTAATATAGATGGAGTATATTCTAATATAAATCATGATCTAACTAAAACATAAACTCCACTACAAACCATAGTAGCAGCATGTAATAAAGCACTTACAGGTGTTGGCATTTTTAATATGTTGTAATAATATACTTATATATTATTAACTCATTCTATTTTCATAGATGTTCGGACTTTATCTTTTACTTATATAGTATATATATATTATAAAGATATTTTATTTTTATTTATCTTATTAATATTTTTAATAAATAATTTTTTATTTAATTTATAATCTTTTGATTTATAATTATAATATATTCATATTCATATATTATATTTAATACTTTTAATAGTTTTTAATTTATAAATATTTAAATATTTAATTATAGGTAATAATTTAGTATAATTAACTGTCATATTCATAGTATTACATTTCTTTAAAATATATGTTTTACCATTTAATAATTTAGCTAATTCTAACATTACTTGATCTTCATTTTTTTGTGATAAAATATAACGTATAGATATTTTATCATTTATAAAATTACAAGTAAAAGTACCTTCTGCATCAGTAAAACCTGATAATCATGCATTATCTAAAGATACTTTATTATTATTTTCTATAAAAATAATATTTGTTTTATAAACTTCATTATATCTATCTATAAATAATTTAAATTTATTATTATATTTATTTAATATAATATTACCATTAAATATATTAATTATTTTTAATAAACCTTCTCTATCTCTAACTCTATATTGATAAGTATTATTCTTTTTATCTTGTAAAGATACAGAACCAAAACCTAAATTATTTTTAATATAATATAAAATAGATATATCTTTATTAGATTGTGTAATTTTAAATTCGAGATATTTATTATAATGCCCAGCGCAGTCGCGCTGGGGATCCCCTGGCTTCGCCCGGGAATTATTTATAATAAATGAACCATCTCCTTCAGTAAAACCTATTAATCAATATTTAAAATTATTATCTATATAAGTAATTTCACGTAAAGTCTCTGAGGAATTCAATATTTGATTTCCTGAAGATTGCCCATAATTCTTATTATTATTATAATAATCGGATAAAGTCCGAATATTTTTAAATAAATATTTAGAATATAAATTGAATTTTTCCTTATTTAAATAATTAATAGCGGATCAATTTACATTAGGGTATTCCTTCATATGGTGAAATTTAACGAGAGCCCAATTAAAACCCTCCATAGCTGATAATAATCAAGCATGTAAACCTAATTGTGCACTTTTAGCTGTAGCTGCTATTAATAACATAATAACTAATAAATTTAATATAAATGTATCTACATGTGGAGTTAATAATTCTATAGTTTCAAAATCTAAAGCATTAAAATAAGTTATCATAAATCCTAAACATATAACAAATAAAGTATCACCCATACGATTTAATAATATCGCTGATAAAGCTGATTTCATAGCAGCAATACGTGTACTTCAAAAAGATATTAATAAATATGATATAACACCTACAAATTCTCAACCAATAAACATCATTAAATAATTCTCACTAACAACTAAAACAGTCATAAATATAGCGAAAACACTTAAAATGATATAAAAACGGTTACGATTAGGATCATGTGCCATATAATCTAAAGCATAATAAAGTACACATAAAGTTACTATACCTACAGGTACCATAACAGACATAGATAAAGAATCTAATAAAATACCATAATTTATATCTAAATTACCTAAAGAGATTCAAGAACCTAAATGTATTAAAACAGGTTCTTCATAAATAAACATTAATCAATTAAACATTATAATATATTACTTACTTTACCTCTTAATCTATAATAGGATACTAATAAACTTAATCCTATTGCTGATTCAGCTCCTGCTAATATTATTATATATAATGCATATAATGTTGCTTCAACATCATCATATATACCACCTATATATATTATTTTTACTGTTACTGTTAATAATAATATTTCTATCCCTATTAATAAAGTTATTATATTATTTTGACTTATATAAAAAGTTATTAATGTTGTTAACATTGCTATC